AATAAAACCCCCGCCGGTTGACTATGGAAATGAGGCGGGAGCTTGTAAAGAGTCTGCGGACTGTCGCTCTGCTTGCGATGTTTTCACCTGATAGTAATACGGTTGGCAACATTCAGAGTTGCTTGAAGTCAATGAGTATCATGGAGCCTGACCTGATTCTTCATCCCATATTGGAACGTGCGGTGCCTGCTTTGGAAGCACTGATTGAGGTAGTGTTGGCTTACTGGGACAGAGTGCAATGGAACTGACGTTGGTTTAGACACAGCGCACTATAGCAGTCATCAAGGCCCTTGGTGCCATTGCGCCGGCTCTAGTTTGCCGTCATGTCTGCTACGGCGGTGCGAAGCATCTCCTTCCTATCCTTGACCTCCTTTTACCTGGTATTGATTTGGTGAGTAACTGGAATTTTAACGATAACGGACTCCCAAGCTGATTGTTCATTCAGAATGATCCACCGAAAACGGTAAGTTGTTTCCGTGAGTGTGTTGAAGGGAATTCACAGTGGATTCCTAGTTTTGCACCACCGCTTTCATCGTCGAAGTGGCTCAATATATCAAATTCGGGGAGATGACCAGCGATGATCAATCCGTGCCAATTAATGTGGATATGGGACGGGCAGATTCCGATACTCCCGATTTGGATATCACAGTTCTGCCAGCCAGCGTCGACTTGGGCGAGGGAGTTCGGAGAACACCCCAAGAGGAGGACGCGATCTTGGCAAATTTGTCCGCGACGTTTGCAGACTGGGTTGCTGCATTCCTGCGTAGGGTTATACTCCTATTTGAGAACCTTCCTGAAGAGGGTGCAGACGGCACAGTAGGTGGTAGCACGGAAGGTATGTGGCCTCTACAGTGCTGCTTTGTCAGAGATTGAAGTGTCATGCAGTCCAGCTTGTTGATTCCGTCTCTGGTGCATTCAGCCAAATATGCGTGCACCTTTCTGAACCTCTTTATGACATGGTACTGAACATGGTTTTCGACTACGCAAGCAACAATGTCCGGTCCAATGCCGTCCGTGCCATTCACCAACTGGTCGAATGTGTAGCCAATGCCGATCCCGTTAAGACTCTAGCTAAATTTGTACCGTATTGTGATCGGAATATCCGCATTGAACTGGAGCATGGATCGAGTTCGTTGAGGACAACGTCATCAAGCTCGACGCCTCTGCCGTCAGACGCTACCCTTCATTGGAGTAAGTGAGGATCGTTCAAACATAGAGAATATCCTAACGAGGGACTAGATCTTGCCATACTACGGGGATCCATGTATAAGTAAGTCCGTTTGTGTTGGCCTCTTGGCCCCAGGGAAATCAGTCTTAATTATGAATGTGTACAGTGATGGGAAAGCGGTACGAGGTCTCATCCGACAGAACTACATAACCAGTTTAAAGGAAATACATCAGGCTCTACCATATCGTGAACAGCTGATATCCTTGTTTAAAGTTCTTCACCAGAAGACGTTTTCGAAACGCGGTTTCTCTTCTAGCGGCAAGCTCATTTCCAGCACCTTACTAACCCTCACGCACACATATCCTCTTGAAAATAAATTCGTCAATCCAGATGAATGGGCAAGCGAAGGTGAAGCTTTTTCTTATACGACTCAGCTGTGCCTCCGCTCCACTGTACACACTCAGATTTCAAGAAGAACCACCACAAATATTGGGGGAAGCTATACAAACCGGAGGATGTCAAAGTATGGACCCTAACCTTATCTATCATTATGTCTAAACACCGTTTGACCTCTAGCTCACGTGGCACATCCCATCTAACGAGGAGATAGATTTTACCTTGCAGATCTTCCGAGAAGTCATTGAACCCATATTATCAACGTTGGATACGCTGTTGAAACCGGGTAGGTAGTTTATATCGTTGGGCTGCTGAAGCTGATAGCGCTGGGAAGGCGTTGTGCGTGACGCCGTATGGCGCAATGATTTCTGTCGGTATGTTCCAGTTTCACCTATGAGCTGTGTGGATACTGATCGAGCATGGCAGACATCTCAGTTTCGTTCGTAATGCGTTCTCGGGTATCCCTACTCTCGCCAAGGAATACATACCTCCAGAAGACTGGTCATCAGCCATCGCAACCAGCGATATACTGTAGGTTTATCTGGTCTCGGTAGCTTACGGTCATTTGATTCTTGTATAGACATGAAATTCCTGAAATGATTGCTGCAATCGAGCCTCTCAATGCTGGATTCGCGCTGACTGACCCCAATGATCCTCGCCACCAGTATATTACGAGGTTGAGACATCGCTTTGGCCAATTTCTGCACAGAGCTTCAGAATCGCTACGACAGCAGGGAGAAGAGAATACTGTAGACGCAGTTCAGATGTTGGTGGGTATTCACAATCTGATAACTGCCTTCCGTCCGATAACTTAGTACAGATACGTTCAATGCGAACGTACATGTTGGAGTACGGCGATAGCAGGGACAAGTAAGCATTCTCTTATGTATGAGAGCAGTGATGGACCGTAATGCGATCATGATAGCCACTACTTACAGAGGGAACGCTATGACAACGAGAAAAATGTAGCACGCCATTACGCCCATCAAAAGGTTTGGCCTAGGGCTTTGTTCGTACGACGAGCTAGGTCAGGTTTTGATGGATAATTGAATAACATGGCGAATTGCTGATTCTCTCCAGATTCTATCATTCTGCTCGATTGCGCTGGAACTCCATTGAACGGAGAAGGACTGCGCTCGAAGACAAGCTTATTGATGATCTAACGGAGTGGGCAATGTGGCACTATGTGATTGGTAGGTATTCTCACTGTGATACAATACTCTTATTCTGACATATTTTTAGTCAGGGAGTATGTATTCTATGACTTTCCCTGAAATCAATATTTGACCGAGATGACAGAATTAGCCAATCCTTGTTGGAGAGTTTGTGCAATGTGCGCAATCTCTCATACTCTATTTATACCACCATAACTCATGTATACAAGTGCTTTGATGGTGTGCGTCGTCGCTGCCTGCCCAAGCTTTACAAAGCTTTAGACCCGGGAACGGATGACGACCGCATGAAAGGCGCTTTATGGACGCTGAACTCAGGTTTATTCGGTATGTCCAACCCTTGTTCATATAATCCCTATGTTCAATCTGTGCACACTGACAGCAAAATACGCTATCTGCGGTATGTCTGATGGTGGTCGGATCTAATGCACATTGGACTGAGATCACCAACCAGAACCCACCCTGACAACGGAATTTGTCAACAAGTTGTTTGGATGCCAACATAACGAACGCGTCCGTCAACATCTTCTGTCTCGAAATTTTATGTTGCTAATATATTACATTAAGCCGTCCATCCAAGAATATGTCTCATCTTTGTCTGATACTTGTGGGTGAAATTTATCTCGTTGACACAATTCGTACTCATAACCTCACAGGCCTGAATCATTTCGTAGAACCGTCCTACAGCGTGTACGAAGTAACTGACGGCAGAGTTGAGAGAGCAATCAGAGACTTGAAATCAGTCATCGGAGCCGTCTCTAATGCTGATCTGATAGTCGACCGATGTAGAAATCAGAGAATTTCTCGCTTGAGATTGACAAACGAGAGCATTGAGAAATTGGTTAGTATGTGTTAGCTGTTGTATATATCAGGCTCATATTGCTCTTACCAGACCGATTCTCTTTTGGCTATTGCGAATTCTCCGAATACTCATTGGCGATACGCTATTGTTGCAACCCGATGCCTCAGAACACTGGTCAGACGCGATGCACCCATGACGTCTTCACATGTTCGATATCTATTGGAAAAGACGTATGACTCCCATTCAGATATTGTAAGTGATGTTTTGAAGTGGTATATCTATGGTCTGACATCTGTTGCCGGTTAGCGATATGTAAGTCTCCTAGATTCTATCCACACTTGGTCCAATGCGAACTCATGGTATGTCATTAAAGTACGCTCAACGTGCAATCATGAAGATATCTAGATATATCAAATTGCGCACTTTATCTAAGGGACCGGTGGATCTTGTGCTAGAGCAGAATCACAATCCTTTGCGACGAACTGTACCAGTACAAAGTCCCAGCCATGCTTTTAGGTCTGAATGGTTGGCGCAATTCAAAATACCCGTTGATCTTGAGAAAGCGAGGCAAGAGCCGTAAGTAACATGTTTTATTTTTCTATAGGTACTGACACATAGGGTAGTTTACTTTTTGATAAGATTTCCAGTGGGTGGCTCGTATGGAGGCAACATGTAGATTGCTTCTTGGCGCCGGATGCTGTGGAGTCGACTTTTCAACCTTGGGATGGCGGATGTGAAGAAGCTGTTGAGACTCTCCGCACTATTGTCACAGATCCATCGTACTGGGAAAAACTTTCTACTCACTACTCCGCCGAGAATAATACGGATGCCGTCACTCAAGATAATGCATCTTGTGTCAAGTCCATATGTATGTCCTGCATCTCTCTCATGTTCACCCTATTGTACCTCTAATATTACCACACTCGGGAGTTCAATTGCTTGAAGATGAGCCATTCGAGGCGCTGAAACCAACCTTAGAGACTCTCATTGCGGACAAAGACAAGAACAAGCAGCGTGCAGCTGCTGACTTTCTTGCTGGAATATTTTCTGGTAATTGATCCCTCCGCAGGAGAAGACATTTCTGTAATTGAATTTTGGCTTATCTTAGGATCCAAACATTGGCCTACGGATAGTCAGCTCAAATTATGGGAGTGGTTTGAGCGACATTCGCATACGGTATTTGGCCAAAAGAGCAACGATACGTTGCCGATATGGACGTCCTTCCTCGAGGTATGGGCCCAGACACCTAAGTGGACCTGTCAGCCAGTACCTAATACTACTTCGCAGTATGTTTTCTTCAATCGAGATCCGAGGAGGCTACAGCCGATGGTGGACCACGTCGTGGCTGCATTCAAAGGTGTTAATTTCAATAGTGAATCAGCTTTTGACGTCATACAAGTGTTAGCCTTCTACCGAGCATTGTACGAGGAATTGGGATGGAAGTTTCTGCCATGGATAGACGATGCTCTTGAGAAATGTTGGCGGGAGCTTGGCAGAACTGAACACGATGATGTAAGTTTCCTCAATATTGGTGCCCTTGAAAGCTCTGAATGTCACCCCAGGTCCTAGCATATATTAGCGAACTCTTTACTTTCAGTGGGAAGGTCATGGTGCGTTGATGCGCAACTAAGCTAGCTGCTGAGATCACAGACGTTGATTTTGACCCGAACAGTGGAGTCCCCGTCCATCTGTCCCTGTTACTGAGACATTCGTGCGCGAGTGTCGTACATTGCCTCTAGACCATGATATAATGGGAATTCGGGGAACTTACCATAGAGAACGAGTACTAGACCTCGTGGAAAAGTTTGACGCTTGGCGGATGGAACGGTTGCCAGGAGCGCGTGCATTCCAGTCTACGTACGACAGGTAAGTAATACTCTACTTTCTAAGTGCCGCTGTCAATTAGCTGTTATTGGTAGAGTCGGCATCCTCGTTTGCAAATGGTTATTCCAGATAGTCCACGACATCAATGCAGCGGCTGCGTTTGATTACGTTCTCCCCTTGATGGTATGTGCCCACATGTCGTTATTGATACCTATCGCTGAGCATTGTGGACAGCCTGAACTCTTCCGCTTTTCTGAAGGCGAGCCACCAATTCCGCGCATTAACTGAGCTAAAGGCTGATTTCTTTCGTCTAGTGAACGACAACGATGACCTCGCACACCGTGCACAGCTGTTGCTCGTTCGAATGTGTGGTGTTGTGCCCCCACGACAGCTCATTAATCCCATGCTAGATGCTATCTTTACAGCCATCCAGACGTCGCCGGTAAGCCCAAAAACATGGTTCTTATGCTAGCATCGCTAATTGACCGATGCATACAGTCGTGGAGAGTAAGGCTGAAGATACTTCCTTTGGTGCAAGGTACATCCCGTCATCAGGTAGTTTCCCCTTGCTGATTGTTGCCAAGTATTTTATTTCCGACAGTTCCCCTTGATAAGCAACATTAAGATTGGGGAGATGCTTGAGGTGTGTCCCGTGTGATCTAATGATGTCTCTCAAGGCCGCAAATTTGAATTGTAGGTGGTCTGTCGGTGTCTGGACGATGAGGTAGTAGAGGTTCGTGAAATGGCTGCAACGTGAGTCTTCAGATTATGTCGTACGTTTAGCTGACATTCGCGTTCAGGACACTGTCGGGAATACTGCGTCTGTCACCTCGTCGGAGCGTACTTCACTTGAGGGTTCGTTAATAACATCTATGGTTATCATAGTACTAACAGTTCACATCAAGGACCGATTTGTGCGCCTGCTTAAAAATAGCACCCTCCCAGATCGCAAATCTGCCGCATATACTTCGGCCCTGCGTCAGCGCCATGCTGCGATCCTCGGTATCTGTGCACTTGTGGATAGCTACCCGTATACAGTCGAACGATGGATGCCTGATTTGATCACAGGCGTACTCGCTGAGCACACGTATGACCCTGTAAGTCCTGCAGCCCTCTTCATAGTGGATGAAACATTGATCAAGACGGTCACCTCAGCTTCCAATCTCAGCAACAGTACGGAAGTGCGCGAGCAATTTCAAAAAAACACACCAGGATACGTGGCACGAAGACTCGAAACGATTTACTGATGGACAATTAACATCACTGTCCACTTTGCTTACTGGCTCAACGTACTGTGAGGACCTACCATCCGCACATAATTGTCATGCAATTCTGATTTGCACCTTGCTTCTACAGATGCTTAACCTAATTCAATACGACAGAGAGTGCTCGAATCTAACGGCCATTGATAAGTAAGCTCATAACACCAAATCCTACGCGGTATGCCTACTATATATATTGATCGATGTCCCATGACAAGTGCTACAACGCCTGTGGTACGGTTCTATTACATGCCCGGATCCAGGAATAAAAATGTTATCTAATTTGGCGTCCATATAATCAAATGGATTTGCTCGTGTCGAATCTGGACGCCCGGAATAGAACTGATATTCTGTTCACTATACCTCCAAATCCATCACCGTGATGGAATGCTCAGCCGTTTCGCCATCGCCAGCATTATCCTTGCGCGCACTAGCGCATGGAACGGTGTCAATAGGTCGCGTACGTGTGCCAGGACGAATACGATTGTTCGATGATTGTTCTCTGTCAAAAGGGTTCCATTTTATCCATTGGCATGCAGATCTAGAAGATGAGACTCACCAAATTTCGGCAATGAGGTCATCAATTTCATACCAGACTACAGGGCTGGACGCGATGGTGCGAAACCAGCTTATTTTATTGCCTTCGTGCTGTGGAAAGGTGGGGCAATCAAGCCGATGCGAAGTGTATTAGGACAATACTTGGTGTCACTTTCTAGAGTTGATGAAGATACAGGGGCAGCTGCTGGGGATGATATGTCTAAGTGGTAGCAGGTGCATTTTGGACGGCGAGGAGAAGACGATGGGAGAGTCGCGAATTGATACGAGTAGTGGGAGGTACTAAACGGGAGGTCACCAGGAGACTGTTGGATTTCCAATGCTTCGGACAGCATGTGATACATGTTTTTATCGTACTCGTGCTGCTTTCGCTCCTTTCCTTAGTCGTTGTCTTCCCCCTTCGACTGAGCGTCTCGCTGACATAGTACAGTTTCAATAGAGACTACATTCATGATGAGGAATACTACGGCATCATGTGAAAGGACAACATACCATATTTTACAGAGACTGTACATGCATACTAAAGCCATCATAGATGACTGATTGTGAATTTCCAGCCTGAGGAGAGAAACAACGCGACTATGATCGTCACTCGAGACGAGATTCGTGTTCTTTGGATAAGCAGTCATGGTTTCGTCCTTCTAGATAATATCTGGATATCCAGCACGAACTGAAGGGGTTAATGAACTCTACGGCGAATTGGACGCGAAGAGGACAACGTCCACACCGGACAGCCAGGGCTTGGAAAGAAAAGACATCATGCTCCATAAGCGAGAGGCGAAGTCCAATATAACAAGTTATTATACGAAGAAAGAAAGACATGATATACAAACGAGGTCAGGGGGCTCAGATGAGGGAGACATCACATTAATTAAGTAGGATCCAAGATTGTCCCGATGGACTCGGGCTTGCTCCGATCTCGATCAGCATCCGAGTCATGCGCTGATGACTTTAACCCTGACTCAACCAGACTTGTGGAAACCAGCCATGTCGACGTCGCAGGATGCAGCGTCGAGCTCTAATGATTCCGTCATGCAAACGTTCGGCAAATTCAGAGATGAACTGGACGATTATCACGATAGGAGAGAACGTCTCATCAAGGTCTGCCGTATTCCACATACATAGCGCGTTCGTTCAGTCATAAGGGTCCGAACCCACTGATTCATACTCGCCCGCATTCCGTTCAAAAGTCCAGTCGCGATGTTACCAGTCTCTCCAAGAAGGTCATATTTCTTCTCCACCGTACCCTGATGGAGGATTCCTCCGAGTCGGACGATCAGGCATTGTGTCTACGTGCTGTTGAGCGGGCAAAGGACAAGCTGCGCGAGATCCAGGGACTCCTGGTGGCTATGCATGAGGAGCTAGCAGGCGACCGGTTCTGGAGGTATCAGAGGAATGTGTCACCAGGGTTGCAAGAGTATATTGAAGCACTCAGTTTTGCTCACTACCTTGAGTCCCGATCACTCATTTCATATAGCGATGTACAGAAATCGTTGTTGGGAGAGGATGGGGTTCTAGTGCGTGTCTTCCACATTGAATTGACTTTTTGTTACTTGAGCCAAAGTAGTACTTTCCATTACCTTTGGAGGACTATTTGCTTGGTTTGGCAGACCTCACTGGAGAACTTATGCGCTATGCTATTTCCTCGATCTCTCGCCGAGGCGGACGTTTCAAAGCCAGAGAGGTGTGCGAGTTCGTGAGGGGATGCAAAGCCGGTAAGCAGATTTCTTATCGGCGCATTTAGTATTAATAGGTCATGTTAGACTTTGAGGGTCTGACACCTTACTTCAGAGAGCTGAGGAAGAAACAACAAGTGACGGCGCAGTCGCTGGAGAAAATTGAAAACGGTGGGCATCCTTGCAAGTTGTCAAGTGCCACTGAAATGTAAGCTCACAATGCCTTTCCTAGTTGCGTATGCCATAGCAATGCGCAGTTTTGAGTACGACCTGCCCCCTGAGCTGCTGGACGATATTGTGGATCAGACAGTATCCCAAATGGCACAATTGAACGACAGAGGGAATGATCGAGTGCGGAGAAAGGGAGGACTGGGAAGGGACGATGAATATGAGGCGGACGATTGACTGGATGTAAGATCACTGCACTTGAACACGGGAGTGTTTGTCTGGTGTAAGATTGACGAAGATTGCTATCCATCTCGGCGCCAGACGGACACGGCATGGCTTGGTAGCAATAGTGTGCGAACCGATATCGATGGAATGTGGTCGACATCTCGGCTGCAGCATCTCTCCTCGCTGTGTATGCCTGCCTTCGTCTCCACAAAACGGCGCCTTGTCTGCAGGCCACGAGCAACACGCGGCCGTTATCTTTCTCCCATGGCTTGTTCTCAATTGAATTGGCCGGTCTATCAGGTCAAACGCAGTCGCCATTCGTCCAAATGCGCTGCACAGTGCAAATAGGGTGCAAGACATGCCGTGCGTCCAAACGGATTCCATCAATTGACAATGCAGATAGCGTACCCTTGATTCCCCTTGCAGCGCCTTCGTCTGGCGCCCCATACGCCTGTCTGGACGGTGGACCCTCGACAGCGGCCCTTCTCGGCTAAGCCCACAGCGACGACTGTTATAACCGCCTCCCCAAGAGGATCGCTCCTCATCCCACAGGCCAACTCCTTTCACCCCCTCACTACCGTCCCTCTCAGCCCGATGCGTCTTACGTTTACACCAGCTCTCGGCGAGGTGATGCCGCTGGTCATTTCTGAGGTGCACTGCCTCGATGTCCAATCCGTATCTCCACAAGTTCTCGTATTCCAGGCGATGTTTGACTCGCGTGTCTCGTACGAGCAGGCAAAGAGGGACGGCGTGAAGGTTGAGTTGTGGGCCGATCTCCCGGTCGAGGGTCGTCCTAGTTGGGAATGGGGTGCGTTCCCCTTCCAGGCGTATGAGCAGTCGCCCCTCCATGCGAACCTGAGCAACGAGGTCGTTTCCTTGACTTTGTCCGAGGAGCAGGGTTTGGAGGAATCGTCTGCCTATGCCGTCTACGCCAAGGTGCCGGTGAAGCTACACGAGTATGCGAGCGGACATCGATTCGCGTTCACATACAGGCTGGTGTATCCCTCTGGTGAAATCAAGTGGCTCGGGAAGTTTGGGTGGAACGGTGCGCTGGTGGTAGATAAGAGGTCCGCGCCCTGTGCTGTTGGAGTCGACTTACACGATGGATGGACTTTTGAATCGCGCGATATAGCAGCGTTCCGGAGCGCAGGCTCTGGTGAACATCACGTCGGAACACTAGGGCACGACCTGGGGTGGTCTACGTGGGCGATCTATGATGACAGGTGGGTTTTTCTCCTTTCCTACAGTCATTCACTATCTCAAGACCGTGATTGTCGCACAGCTGGCCCGTCTTCTCTCGCACAGGCGAATCGCAATTTGTGTCCTCCATGGTATTAGTGCCTTCCTCCCGCAGTCACAAGGTCATCCCATCTATTCCTCTCGTCATCAGTGCTACTCTGGACTCTCGGGTGCGGATAGGTAACGACGGCCAAATTATCCACAAGCTAGCCAGCGCAGGAGGTCAATTGTTTCTGAGTCCAATCCAGGCTATACCTACAGCACCAACGGAATGTAATCGTATGGGGCCAGTGCAGGTGAACGAGCACACTGAGTTCGCAGTCATGGCATCCTCTTCGGCTAATGGGCTATTGCCGATCTCACTCCTGGTAATCCCCCTTACTCCGATTACCAGAACACAGGAGGTCCACATCCATAGGGATGCTGTTGAACAACTTCTGCCTCCTTCCTCCAGACAATTGTTCATTATATCGTCCCCTCTTTCATCGACTTCTCGTCTGTCAACCGACGGTGAGCTAGTTACCTTCCGTACTGGTCGACATGGTGGATACGCGCGTCTTTCTCCGGTGTATTCCCTTGAATCAACGAGCGGGGATTTCAAAGGCAACTGGGGCATTTCTCTTCTGGACATGCACACAAACGCTGCGATCCATGAACAACAGGGTGTACCTCAGCGAGTGCTGCCTACGCCACCCCCTTCGCCTCCACCCGTGCTCCGCGTTGCACAGCGCACCCAAGTGCCGCCGCTCGCATCGTTCACGGAAGTTTCGGAGCAACTCACTTCCCATACTTTCTCCAGCCCCACCTCGCCGACATCTACACCTGTCCTAGACTCCGCATCGGTATCACCATCTTTATCATTGGCATCGCTCGATATTGCAGCTCCAACTCCGTGTGTACCCCAGCCTCCATGCAAATACGAGGACAATTCGAATACTCTTGCGCTGATTCGCACTCAACGCCCTGCGCTGCATCCATTCTTGCGCGCGTTGCTTGCAATGTTCACATGTTTATGGTCGATAATTTTACAGAAAGGGTTGCAACTCTTGGGGATTCATGCGTCACGGGCCATAGACAACAGCCAACTCGAGCCGTCTGAGAGCACAGGAGTTGAGCCGAACGAGATTGTCGAAGAGGATAACGATGCAAACCTCACGATCATGGCATCCGAGAGCGACCTCACCGTCGCCGATGGAGATACGAAGGAGCCGGATTCCACATATTACTCATCGGCCTCGATGGAGACCGTTGTTGAGGAATCTATCCCGTCTTCGGCATATCTCGAGCAAAAGGCGCCTGTCGACCATCCCGACCCCAAGCCAACTATCTCGCTTTCTGTCGACGTTCGCAGCCATGATGGCAAGTTATCCCTTCTTGTCCAGCCACCTCCTAAAATTTCAATGGGGCTTGCAGCGCTGAAGTTTTCACTTAATGGAGAACCCATTGCAGAGTCCGATATCAGCGCTTTTGAGCGCGACGGGTTGCATCTCCTGAAGATCCATGTGCCGTCCAGCTTCGACGCTGGGAACCTGACCGTGACGATCACTTGAATGTTATATGACTGTTAGTGTATCGGCATAACGCACGAAAAGGCCGGTGCACACGATCCTCTGACGTCGACTGTTTCTTGCCTTTGCTCAATGATGGGTCGAGAGCCAACGTCTGGATACGTTCACCTCAACCCCAAAATTTTTTATGTATTTCTCAGCTGTTTTTTTTTTCCTGTACGAGCTCTCGATTATGTCTGTTTGAAAAGCACCCGTTGTACCTTACATGTATATCGGCAGATTTTACAGTTGTATCATGACATCGGTGTTTCAGTAGCTGTTGTATTTGGAGGCAACGATCGTAATGTAGTCAATCAATCCTTTCTTCTGCGCGAAGTGTTAGCACTATACGACATCCATTGTAGCGAGTCCACTCCCAAGAAAATGGGGAAGAGGTAAATCAATACCCACTATTCAATTGCACACGAGACATCAAACCGAATTACAAAACATTCAGCAAACATCGAAAATCCCTCTTAAGAAGTTAAACGAATACAACAGCATCGAGTGATCCTCATTATGATCATGACCAAGGACGGGCAAGGGCGAGGGCAAGGGTAACATTGTCCACGGCTGAATCATAACACAGGACATAGATACCCATAAACGCAGGGCTGCGATATTCCTCAAGGTAGGCAGGCCATCGTCATCGTCAAAATCACTAGCGCTGTCTTCACAATTTACAGGGTCCACTTGACTAGCAGCTAATTTAGCTCAATAATATCGGGATCAAGTGACATAGACGGTATACCATAAAAACTCAGACAGACCACCGCGTTTCAGCTGAACGCTGAGTACCCTGGGATCTCCAATGCCTGCATTACGCCTATAAGTGACATTGCAGTTCGAAAAAATATAAAAATACGTGCTCCTGCCGCTGACGCCATTCGGTGTGTTTCACACCATCCAGTTGCCAATCTGCAGCGCCACTCGCAGCGAGGGCACTGACATACTTGTCGACCATGTTGTTCATGGAGATGTTCGGCAACATCGGCGCACTGCGTATGAGTCTCGTGCGACATATTGCGCATATCGGGACGCGTCTCTAATAAAGATGGCACCAAAAGGTTCTGTGAAGCTATTTAAAGTCTAAGTAGCAGAATGCGTACATTTTGAGAAATCCAGCTTTGGCCGCACTCGCCACAAAACGTGTGGCCGCATGGATTGCCCATATGCGCGGCAACCCTTGGGGAAATCGTGAACGCGGGATCGCCATAACGGGGCAGATACACGCACAAGAGATCACAGCAGCTGTACAGTTTTGACAAGAGTAAGTACAGAGTCAATGGAAGTTACTATGGCTAGCAACCTACATTGGGCAGTCCAGGTCATCCTCAAATCCTGCCAGCATATCTCGCGCGTAGGCGTGCAAGTCAGTATCCCTGGCCACTTTTTCCTTTCCCTTATTCTTCTTTTTCTTGCTCCTCTTTTTGTTGACTTGTGGATTAGAAGGGAGGTCGTCGACGCGGCGGGATCGTTTCTTACGCGACGACGAAGTGTCATCGTCACGCTCAAGGAGATGCTTGGAGGCAGTCGCAGTGTCTTCCAGCGCCGCCGTGAAGTCTGAATCATCGCCAGTGGAAGCAGGGACTGAGACAGTTGACGAAGTTGCTAGAGCGGTAACACATCAGTGACAATGTGCGCTGTCGTGGTTGTAGGACAGTCACCTGCAAGGTTCGTAGGTGTCATAGGGCGAGCTGGTGCTGGCAGACGCAAATAATATGGTGAATCAATGCGCACGTCGGGATCCTCAAGTTCAAGCGCTTACTGATACCATCCCTCCCTACCTCCGGGCCGTATACGCTACTCGCGGGTGTGGCTAAATGCGTGTGAGCACAACAAGAAAATTGTGGTACTATACAGACCTGCGGGTGCGGGCATGTATGGGGATTGAGACAGCGTAGCCTCCAGTGCACTCAGCTCCTCTAGAAAGGAATTGTCATCTTCGTCGAACCTGTAGGGGCTGGGTTCATCAGAGTTGGAGCCTCGAGAATGCTCGCCCGTATCGTTGGAGCTCGTGGCGAGAGATGGAGGGATGATCGGGTTCTCGACTTCCGACGCCGAAGGACGAGGATCCGGGGGCTGGTCAGATTTGTCGTCCTCTGATGCTGGTGAGGGAACAGGGACGGAGACGTCGCCAAGGCCAGGTACAAGGGCCCAGTCGACACCTTCGAATAGATCGGGAAAGGCATCAAACTCGTCGTCAGAGAAGGACATGGTAGCCAGTGGGTGGCCAGTTGGTGGCCACACTCGACGTTAAACAATGAATGACGTTAAGATCAGGTGATAGATATGCTTATGTAATGCTCGTACGCACCACGATGGGCCGATGGTGCGCGGATCTGCAGCCTAAAGCCTCGCCCCGCAATCATCTTGAATTTGTACTTTTGCCCATATTTTGCCCATACCTGTTCTCACATAAGGCTGGTAATCGTGAAAGATCCGTCTGACTGCGCCATCTATCCCGCGGGCCCGACCTTGCTATGTTCCAGGTGCGACCACCCGCCCGCCCGAGCCATTTGTAGTCTAGGGATAAGTTTTGTAGTCGCATCCGGATCCTAGTCACTTCTTCCGAATCCTCGTGCTGAATGTTACGCACAACGTTGGGCTTGGTATGCGCACGCAACGGAAGAAGAAATGGAGAGAACAGACCCGTTCACAGCAAGCCTGGAGCGTGCATCCCGACGCCTCTTCTCAGTGTCTTGCAACGATTACGCGCTGGACTCATTCTTCCCCATTTTCTGAGTATACCCAACTATGTCTAGCGTGCGCTCTTAATGGCCCTTAGCGGCTGCCTCTTTGGTTTCGACACAGGTAGCATCGGCGCAATTGCCGTTATTCCCCAATTCCAGTCCCACTTTTCCAGGACGAACTCCCTCACTACGACTACTCAAGGTCTCATTGTTTCCATCATCCTGATCACTGCTGTTGTAGCATACTCAATCCCTGGTCCACTCTCCAACCGCATCTGGAGAACGAGGCCAGTAGCTCTAGGAGCCATTATCTTTGCAGCAGGATGCGCTATATCTTGCGCCGCTAACTGTGTGGCTGAACTGTTCGTCGGAAGGTGTGTGGCAGGCTTTGGAGAAGGAATTTTTCTGTTCACATGCGGTCGAAATAGCCCCAGTGTCTGCGAGGGGCAGGATGGATATCTGTTCCAGCTAACGAACACGATTGGTATTGCGACCTGTATGTCCTTATTCGACTTCAGCGCGCTTTTTCCACGCTAGCTTACAGGGTTTTTTTGTATGCTATGGTACCGTCTACGTGCAGTCTATTTTGTCGTGGCGCTTTCCGTTTGGAGTACAGGCAGTTATATCAGTGGTACTGGTCATAGGCGCCCCTCCGCTTCCCCACTCGCCGCTCTGGCTTCAACATGTCAGTAGAATTGTGGATGCGGATGCTGCATGAATAGCGCTTTATGTTAGCTCCGCTGACGCTGACAAGACGGAAGAAAACACTCGTAGAAGGGACCTATTATAAATGTCTTTGCGGCAGGAGGTGAAGTAAATGTTTACAAAAGATATCAGGTTCCGGACTGCTCCGGCGGTCTTTTTGACGGGGATGCAACAGGTGAGGATAATCTGAACCTGCCTTCTCTTGTATATGCTCAGGTCATTACTAGGCCCCAGAAATTGATGGCGCACTTTGTATGAGTTTTTGCCGAAAGTTGTGACGGATTTCGCTACTCACTACCAGCCAGTATGAGTCGGTCCTGTTTTCTCGGGCAGGGCTGTCGGCTATTACTGCTTTGTTCTTCGCTTCGGGCATCCCTGTAATCGTGAACGTCGGGTGGACCTTCGGAATGCAGTTCTTTGCGGACAAAAAATGTAAGTTTATATGTTCGCTTAGCTACATGTGTTGATTATCTTTCCAAGGGGAGCGCCGAGTCCCTATGATCCTCGGGGGCTGGCGGTGCCATGATGTTAATTGGGATGATCTATGCAACGCGTGCATCCGATACGACTGCCAGTCGGTAGGCGATCATTGTATAAATCTACGTCTTCGTTTTTGGCTTTGTCACCGGCTGGGCTATCGTCATGCGCATTATTTATGGTGAGATTCAACCCATGAGGATAAGAGCAGCTGCCACGTGTTTAGTGTACTATGCCAATTGGGTATGCCTATCGTCAATCATCGTACTGGACTCCAAGGACTCTTACAGCGGCGAACAGATCATCAACTGAATTATGACAACACCTCTTTTCCTCGCTCGGTATTCTTCCGAACCGTATTTCCTGTTCTGTCGCTGTTTGCCCGTTATCGCCCTTGTATGTTTTACTTTCCAGCCTGAGACGAGAGGGGCAACATTAGAGGAAGTCGGCAAGGCGTTCGAAGAAGCTCGGCAGGCGATGCTTCAGAAACATCGAAGGTGTTCACCGGAGACCGTTGACTTAACCTATCTCAATAGCGACGGCAGAATATGGATAAGAGCAGGACATGACGCCGAGATTGTAGAAGATGCGATTCGTCCCCGGCAGTTCGCTTCGGTGGTCCATGGACTGCCAGTATGCGCATAGATTGACATGAACACAGACTGACGTCGAGCGACTCAAGGTTCGCTCAATGTTTTTTCAACAGACGGTAATGGATATGGTGTTGATCATGGCGAATCAGCTGACTGACGACACGTTGCGCCCCTTTCGGTGCGAATTGGAACTACGCTGAAGGTTGGCGAGAAGGCTCACTAGCACTTGCAGCATTTCATTTGCAGAAAAGCGTGGCAATTTTGGTGAGATTGACATGACAATTTCTGTCGGTCCCAGGTGGCCTACGTGGTTCTGCAATACTATTACTCCAACTCATCGAGCGGGACGACCGACCGAAATGGCAAGTAGGATGCCAAATTGAGAAGGTGTTCTAGTTGTCAATGTTCAGCAACCTCCAGTCAACCTCTTGAGAAGACACGGCGGGGGTTCAAATTTTTGACGTGCACATATATATATGGCTCCGTTTCCTCGTCTCACTGTCACCCAAGTCTCTTTCGTTCCCCCACCTTCTCTAGTTTATCCCTTCTCTAATCAACGTCAAGGTTCAGTAAAGCCTAGGAGTCATCAAGTATCCTAATATCAAGATGCGTAGCCCGGTAATCGCCTTTTCCATCCTCGCCGCTGCTGCGGTAAGCCCCAGTCTCGTTGCTGGTGCGCCCACCTCGCCGAACCCGGACACCGGCGTTGTACATTCCCCTCGCATGCTCGCCCCCTCGTCCATTGGTAGGTTCGCCGCCGGTCATGGCGGAAATGGCGGCGGTGGTAGTGGTGGTGGTGGTAATAACGGAGGTCCTGGCGATGTTGTTTCTGGGGCTCTTGCTGGTGGTAATGTTCCTGGGGTTCCTGGGGTTCCTGGGGTTCCTGAGACGATAGCGAAAACTGCCGGCACAGCCACGGGGGCTTCCGCTGACAAGAATAACGCTGCTCAGCTCAACACACAGAAGCCCAGTCTTCAGAGCCACCGCGCAGCGGAACAACAGCTCCATAATCCTTCTCCTCCTACTATCGGCGACGTTGGTTCTCACAGCAAACGTGCCTCGGATCAGTACACCGCTGGAGGAAACTCCTACACTGGAGCCACCAGCAGTACTTCTGGTGGTAACGCTATCGCCGTTTCTCATGGAAATACTGGTGACCCCGCGGTGGATGGGATCACTAATGAGGACGATGGTGCGTTCAGTGATCTGTTCGGTTATTCAAACATAAAGGTGCTAATGTTCCGCTTCGGACAGTAACTGGTGGTGCCGCCGGCGACTCGTTTAGCGGTTTCAGCTACGGTGGTGATGGCGGTGGTCACGGACCAGGTGGAAATGCCTACTCTGGAGCCGTTGCCTCCTCATACGGAGGAGACGTCATCAACGACAGCGACGATGGTATTGACAATGAAGGCGACAGTACGTCCATCCTTGGTACATTTCCCTTGCGACTCGTGCTCCATCTTTGATAGATTTGGGCGGCGCTGGTGGGTTCGACGAGAGCGGTGATTCCGTCGGCGGTGACGCACATGGCTTCACTATCGACAACGTTCGCCCCAACGTACACAGGCGTGCGGGCGACCAGGGCACGGCCGGAGGTAACGCATACACGGGAGCAAGCGGCAACGTTGACGGGGGCGATATTATTAACCATTCGAACGCCGATGACACGACTACCAACGAGGGCACAAGTGAGTGAATACGACATTGTCTGTGGCTCTGCAGCGTAACGACCATTCTGTAGTCACTGGTGGTGCCGCTGGAGACACGTACTCCGGAGACGCTGACGGTGGTAACGGTAATGGATATGGTCCTGGTGGTAACGCGTACACTGGCTCAACTGGTTCCGCCAAGGGCGGAAGTGTCTACAACTTCGGCGGAACAATCGACAATGAAGATACCGTCACTGGTGGCGCGGGCGGTGAGAGCGAGAGTGGTGACGCTGTTGGCGGCGATGCCTAGACGCCTTCTCCCAGCGGCAGGCAATTGCGCGATGATTTATGTGATTCGTCATGTACACAATCTATACCCACTTTCTTTTGCATATACATCAGATGTGGAAATGAACAACGCGCAGAAGTACTAGTGTGCGTCTCGACTAAGCTACCGCGACTCATCCCGCGGTAAAGCCCATCCTGGCTGCAACCGCCCGGCAAGGCTGCTAACTGGTCCCGACAATCCTGCCTGACTCTTGAAGCTTTCCAGGAAATTGCTAATCATTCCATAATCAACATTGCCCACATCCTCCTCCTCGCCGTCGTCCTCCCTCTCCAATGTTGCCTTGAGTTCTGCGTCCATGGCGGCCTCGATGTCAATCACGGGTTCATCACCGGGCGACTTAGTTCTACTGTTGTCTTTATTTGTTTTACGATAGGGAGGTATATTGCCATTAGAACGCGCCAATTCCGCATCCATAGCCTGCATAACAGCCTCAAACGAGGCTAGGTTTGTGTCACGGCCTGTCATCAAAGTTTTTTCGTCCAGCTTCTTCTCTGCATCTAGCGCGTCCTTCACGCTTTTGTCCTGACTTTGTACCATGGCCATAGGGGGAATATAAGCTATCGAAGAGATGTTAGGTCGTGCCAAAGCAACACTTGGAAGGAGATACTCACCGCCACGATTCTTTCTCTCCTGTAGGATGTCACCCCATTGCTGATCCGAGACACCTAGAGCTTGGCGAGCAAATTCCAAAAACTCCTCCTCTTCTTCCTCCATGTTGATTTCGATCTCTCCCACAACCTGTGGCTGGTCTTCTGCTTCGTCTTCATCCGCAATACCTGGACTGTCTTCGTCTGTTTCATCATCCGAGTCAACACCATCATATTTGTCTCTAGGGATGATAGGTGGCCTGATCGATCGCATGTGAGGCACAAACGCAGACGACCCGGAAACGGATATTTCTTCCCGGTCCTCAGTTGCAGGAGCAATACGCTGAGAATTCGCATAGAACGAAGCTGGCATCCTGCCATAATCAGAAGGATCTAGTTGCGGCACCAGCAGTGCCATTGCGGCTTCTCGCGCTACATCCGATTCAGGAGCCGGGGGCGAGGATTCCTCATCCGAGTTGATCTCATCTTCAGACATAGCGGATTCGTCGTCATCAACACCGCTATCTGAGAACTCTTCGCTGTAAGATTATCAGAACATACCACTGGAATATATTCACTAGTGTCGCACTTACTCTGCGAATAGAGCGCCGTCGAGATCACCTTCGCCCTCGACAAAGTCCTGCACCTTCTTAGCGAGATCCTGCAACCGCGCAGCCTGGCGCTTCGCGAAACGATCTTCGTCTGTTTCGTCGCTTTGATCATTACTGTCGATGTCCATCGCATCAGCCGATCTCTGAGATCTCGTTCCAGACTCTTTGCCGAAAGTTTGTTGCAATGCAGAATCGAGATCGTCCGCATCAACTTTGAGCCAATCATCGGAGTCTTCCTCCGTCCTACTTGGGTGTACATCACCTGCCGGCGCTTGTGTTATTGCGGCATTAACTATAGAGGCAAATGACGGCCTTGTGGAATCACTAGGACAGAGATTGTAAGCCACAATAGATCCGCAACTAATAAGAAACACACTCTTCTCGCCGAACCTCCACAAATGTTGCAGCAGCTTTTTCTTCGAGCTCGTTCCATAACTGAGATCCTTCGAGTTCACCCTTGAAGTATCCACTAGACTTCAGATTCTGTATATATTTCACATAGTCAAGGTTCGACTTCAGGGCATTTAACCGTGCCTGCGCCTGTGAAGTCAAATGTCAGGAATTGACGCCATCGCTATGGTCCAAACCAACCGATGATCTCAAAGCGTCGGGCGACCAAGTCGCACCGTCCGACCTGCTCTTGCTTTCTTGATACAACATTTCAAACCCACAAGCCTGTGAGGAAAAAATCAGTACGAGCACATTTCGGGTGGTGTTGGAACAATGACAATTTTCATCCCCACGTCCCTCCATTGCCACTCTTTCGTACCTTCCATCTCTTGCCATCGGCCAAAAATCTTCGGAGGATAGAACTTTTGACCGACAAGCTGTGCATAAGCTGTACGAGTGAGCTTGATTCCCGTGAGGACGGAAGGTTCTGGAGGAAACCGAGCCATCCTATGGGCGGCCTAAAAAATGTCAGCGCAGCGTTCCGACATGTTTTATCACTACACACTCGGAGTTGGAGCGTATCCCGAGTGTAGAATGTCTCTACAGGCTTTTGCGCAAGGGAAGAGTCGACAGACAACGCCTTCGCTATGTCGACAGGTAGCCATGCTTTTGTCGAATGCACATGTTGACGGGCCGCGACAGGATAACTGATTCATCAGAAACTCGGGTGAACAGTCAAAGTAGAAGTGTATTGACTCACCCAGAAATTCTTTTCCAAACAGCATTTTGGACACTCACAGGAGCTAAAGTGTCTACTTCTGGATTGACTACGACCTTGAGAGCATCTGGAATATTGACAAAATCGTCGGCGTCATCTCGTGTAATAGCATCCTCGTCGTCACTGTCTTTGCTACCAGAATACCGGCGCCTTTTATGTCTGCTGGATGGTGCAGACACATGAGAGAGGGGAATTATATGAAGGCGGGAGCGGTAGATCCAGACCTGTTTGCAAGGTCAATTCACATCTTTTGTGGCTGAACCGAACGAAAACATACCCTGTTTTCAGCATTGGAAGGGGTTACCCATGATGGAAGCGCTTCCGCCGCTTCGATCAGTAGGAATTCGCCGTCTGAATCGAAGACACTAGACCACAGCCATGTATATGAGAAAGACGATGACGAGTTCGTCGTAAAACATACCTGATGACGACATCCCATTTTGCACTGATCTCCCTTAAAAGCCAGACAACACACCATTCGTCGTCTACGCAATCGCCGACCCTCATTCTGCCCTCCAGTAACCAGTCTTCCGAATCGGTATCCTGTGCGACTTTCAACTCGAATGCGTCACGATGCCACAAATGGTCCGGAAATGTCGTGTCAGCATACTCCCGCATGAGAGTAGCTAGCGCAGTGGCCGAAGCTTTGTCACTGAATTCGTTGGGTAGATAAAGAGTGTACTGGAGGGTGTCCTCCGAGATTGCCGGAGGCCGATTGAAGATATCCATAACCGAGGAGGAAGGCCGCTGAGCGTCGGAGATCATTTGGGGAAAATATTGAGCGACGGGGACAGTGTCGGCCGCTTTTTGTAGTAGAAGCGAGAGAGGGGAAGAAACTTGCAGAGCGAGTGTCCTCGATCACCTCCACTAATACGAAATCCGCGTCTGACGCGTCTGAAATCACAAGTCGCGTGACGCGCACGACCTCAGCGCTCACTGTCAGGTTCAGTGGCCGCTCTATACGGCTTGAGTCCGTCACGAACTCGATAATGGCGACGACATCCTTCAAGGATCGTAATTTGCTTGCGGTCATAGGTGATGAGGTACGATCATACTGCGATCTTTATTTTCTCTCCGCTGACGCAGTCATGACAGGACACCATCACAGGCATGCTGCTCGCGGGTATTGGAAACATAAGTCAAAATCAGAAGAGAAACTTTCTCGTTGTGGACTCCAGTGGGTTGATACATGACGATCCTACCCTTGACTAACAAACATCTCTAGAAACACCTATACCCCACATTGAAAGCATTTTCGAGGAATTCACGGAACGGAAAGATATCGCTATCTTGTTAATTAACCAGCATGTTAGTGCATTTGATTGTTGCTATTCGTATTGCGCTCATGGAGTTGAGTTGCATATAGATTGCTGAGAAGATAAGGCCTACAGTAGACAAGTACGAGCGAGCATTCCCAGCACTACTGGAGATTCCATCCAAAGACCATCCATATGGTATGTTTTCCTTATACCCCTGTATTCTGACTGGCTTGACCGGATGCTTTGTAGATCCAGCGAAAGATTCGGTGCTGAAGCGTGTACAGAAGTTGTTTGGAGAGTGAGGTCAAGCCCTTTTGACGTCTCCGTTAGTACTACAGGCGACAACACGTATTACAGCATCTCGGTAATGTATTATAATGGCACATAGAGTGATAATCAGTGTCCCGGTCGAACTTGATAAACTATTGCATCATAGGTGTCACAAGATTGAAAATACAGATGAGGGCAGTGTCTGAACAGCGAGGGAAACACAGCATCGACGACATCATGATGATCTCCACGATAGGACTGGTTCATTGTCCCTGACACCTTCAGACCGGTCTATGATCACGCGCCTCGAATTCCAGCTTTGTGTGTCTACGCAGTAATAAGATAATTGCGCCAAGTCAATCACGACAATACTCACTGGGGATGTCTACAAACAGGTAGCGGAATTCGAAGTAACCATGGTCATTCTGTAGAAATTCAGTAAAGGCGCGCACCAAAAGCAGGACCATAAACCTCACGCACCATCACGAGATCAACGTGTACTTCCCCCTCAGAATAATTCTTCCCATCCGATCCTTCATGCCCTGATTCAGAAGCACTCCTTGCTGGGCCTTTGAGGCCAGAGAATAGACCTGTAAACGAAGACATCCACCCTTTCTTGTCTTGCTCTACCTTCACTGCTGGCTTGCTTGGCTCCGGTAGTTGTATCGATGGTAACGGGTCGCCAGTCAGAAACCTGAATAATTCTTTCGCCGAACTCCATGCTACGTCTGCTCTTGTTTTTGTACTCTCGATGAGGTCATCGAGGGACATTTCGGACACTTCTAATGTTGTCGTTTTGGCCCATTGAATCGCAGAGTCGACGTAAGAGATAGATCCCGTATCAGGAAGTGGAGCAAGGGAGCCTGGTGGGCGACCCTGGACATAGAAGTGCAGAAGCATATGCTCTCTACCGGCTGCGTCAACAACTAATTGTGACGAAACATGGTGATTGCGGTGACGAGGACGGATCAGAGATGGAGGGTTATTATGAAATACTAACGGCCCTTGGAGAAACTTCGCCAACTGCGAATGAACTGAGAACAGCCACAACACGTCTTACGTTATTGTAAACGCACCTTCGGGGAGGCTTTGATTTTTTCGCATGCTTGACCGTATAATACTGTCGCCGAATTTTTGGAGAACAACTCAGACGTCAACGCATAGATGAGCACGCCGGATAGACCTGCTCCAAATAGAATCACAGCCAGATTCGTGGTTCTGGCGGTTGTTCGAGCAACTATGTTCGACTCGTCAAATCATGCAATGAAACCAGCCCCACAAAGACGTACCTTTTCCAGCAGCCGACAACTCCGACCACTTCTTCACGTTCTCACCACCTCGAGACACAGGTGGAATGAGCCCCAATTGAAAGGGACCAACATAGTCGTCGCGTTGTGCCGTTCGACGCCTCTGATCAAGAGCATTCGAGAGAAGGGAAGACGGTGACGCTCGCTCGTTGGGAACTGTAGCGTACGATCGGAAGATGACAGCCTGAGCGGGTCTCCTACATTTCAGAGCGATCGACGCATGAATGAGACGGTGTGCCAGCGACAGTCGAGAAGCCAAGTCGACCATTCCTGCACTCATTGACGCTTCCCGCAAGAACAAAATGAAGAGAGTCTTAGGCTGTCAACAACGTTGTCCGCGGATACTTGGCCTCTCACAGTCTCAGCCCGACAGTGAGGGTCAGAAGGAACACACACATCCCACGTGATTGTACCCGTCGCGCGTTCAATAGGAGTTTATAGGACAACTTGAATGTTGAACATTGCCAACACAGCTCAAGCTGAGCGCACCAGGCCGCCGATCTGTGATTTGGTTTAGGCTCAGTGATTGTACGCGACAGTACAGACGGCTTTGTACCACTTCATACCATCGGTGGGCTCAGTGTGCTCATATAATCCCTGGGTCCGCGGCAAATAATTGAGATTATGCCTCAGCAACCAACACTTCACATAGGAATCATTTGGATACACGTTCGTAATTAGTAGGTGGACCTGCTACACCCATATGACTGTGCTAATGGCTCGGATTCCGTATATACGAGTGGCATCCAATGCGGGCCAGCCGTGGGCTGATAGTCCAAACCGAGGAAAATTCGCGAGCGTAGTATCTGAGTCGATGTCACTGTCCAAAGTCGGATAGACTTTCAATGACTGACTTCTTTAACTGTGGCAAATGAATATTGAGATTCTCAAATATACCCATAACGGAAAGTATTGTTGTTCTCACCGGAGGGCTGATACCGTCTCCTTCAAAATAAGCCAAAACGAACTCCGTTGCCAACCAGTCGCTCTGAACAGAGCCGAGGTCTCTAACGATCAATGATCGAGGTTGTGTTTGATCAAGGACAGGTGGGGCAAGTAAAATATCGAGAGTAGCATGTTTCGCAAGAGGTGTATTGGGAAATATGGACTTGAATTTCCTCAATGGGGACTGAACAGCAGTTTCATCCTCAGGCGACAAAGTTCCGCGTTGCTTGCAGAGTAGCAAACGCGCTTGCAAAGCCCTCATGAAACCGTCTCTTAAATGGCTGAACGAAGTCGACCGTGTAGGTACTAAGTGGAACCGTATGATAACCTGGGAACAATGGACGGAGTGATGAACGAACCTATCCTCAAGACGCACGCCGAATTTTGGACAATGTGTTCAATCTTCTCCTCAATAGACGCGGATTTAGAAATCTGACGAAGGCATCAAGAAATCAGAAACATTATACAAATAGACTGACATGAACCTTGAGATTTGTATTGGCCAAGTCGGCATAGAACCCGACTGAGTAGACCTGGATACCCAGAAATGAGACTGTCCTCACACCCACTCCTACGAGGGACAAGGCGGGCAATGGGGTTTTCGATGGTATGCGAAGCGTTGTCGGGAACGAAATATTTGTAGCCAAATCAACTGGAATGGAAGACAACTGTCAGAGCTCCGCCAGCCAGAGCGTGCTTGAACAGAACGAACGACACGTGTCCCCTTCATTGGAGATAGAATCTGCGTCAAGATGACTAGTAGATATCCCCAGTGCAAGAGTAGCGGACAAGGCTAGTGCAGAGCACCAGACAAGTGGTTTTGGGGATCGCGTCTTTGCTACGACCTGTGATTGTAGATACACGCTACGTGCCTGCGAGATGTCGCGACACTGAAAAGCGAGCAATTTAAGAAATCTTGTATGCACCAAGTTCAACATGATGAAGCCGCTGGGGATTAATCTTCTTGAAGACTGTATGCAGCTAAAAAGGTGGCTTGCACGAGAACAGACTCAGACTATCACGCGTTCTAGTGCACACGACGCGTACCATGGGCGCCTAGTGCGTGTAGTACGTACGCGTCGCCGCGCTCCCAAACTCGGTCTTAGATCTTGGCTTCCTTTCCCGTAATAGCCACCGAACTGGCCAGTTACACTTAACCAGGACGCGTCAGTGCAGGGCCTCGTCATCGCTTGAGGCCCGTTATAAGCTTGGCCGCCAAAGGTGCGTACTCCATCCTCAACTCCTTTCGCCATGACTGACATATCGGACACACTCCATTTAGGTTTTGTTTCCTGTTCCACCGGATTCTCGATGGACAATGAGGACATGTCTGTGCCCGACTCTCCCTCATGGGGGTCGGGTACCTTGACTCCCGGCCAATCTGCATCCGAGAGACAGAGGGCTGCTTTGCATTCATACATCGATTCATTGCCATATAAATGTGAATCTGTCGAAGAAATGCAAGCGAAATTAGAACACATAATATCGAGGATCAGCATCTGCGCAGAGACAAAAAATTGGCTGGTGCTCACGACCTGGGATGGGATGCTACAGTGGTGAGTCGATTTCCAATCTTGTAACTACGGAAAAGCTAGCTGAAACCCCGTTTTTATTAGCTGGCTTCTCATGCATTATCCTATGACCAAGTCGATGCGTGCAAAGCTAGTCCGCTTGTACTTTGAGCTGTGTCTTGTTCCCGGCATTGAGCCTCGTGTCGTTCGCAACTGGGCCGACATGCTTTCTCGTCTTCTCTCGAATAAACCTGATCACAGGCGAAAGTTAGAGAGCTCTGATCTTCAGCTTCCTTGGAAGCCGCTGTGGCGCGTGCTACAGAAGGAGCTCTGGCCAAAGAAGAGGTTGAACGACAGTTCGTGAGTTCATCTGAATCCAGTTGTGCGTACGGCACAACCTGACCAACCACTTCTTGAGACGAAATATGAACAACATACTCCTCTTCGTTGCGGAACAATGTAGAAGGTACTTTCCAGCTGACGAAATACCTGAAATGCTGCAAACTTTTCTACCTCTGTTGACCAAAGAAGTGAGATCGCCTCTCCCTTCCAAGATGTTGCACACTAATCGGTAACACTCTTAGAGGGTTCTGACCATGATTCCAGTCATGACGTCATTTCTACCACCAACCCACACTCATCTTTTCATGCCTATTCTTTTCAAGTTCTGGGAGGCATTTAATTCTTCCGTCATTGACGATCGGATGGTTGAGCTCTGTGGCGATCTCTCAGAAGAGCACGTAGCTGGCGAACAAGGTGACGCAGGAGAGGACGGTGGCGCCGAGTGGAAGGACGTTGGAGTCTGGAGTGAATCTGACTGGCATTTCCTTGCTACCAAAGCTCTTGCTTCGATGAGTTAGTCTGCCTTCTGTCTGCTACTCTGTTACTCAAACATTGTGATACTGCAGATGTTCCGATTGGGGCGACCAGGGTAAGCAGAAATTTTCAGTAGGAGCTCTCTTCTGTTGAATACCGGAGACAGGGTGCTAGCACTACAGCAGGTATCGCAGATATCACAGGGGATAAACAGTCCCTTAGGATCAAGAAACCCATTAATCGGTCGAGTGCGTGCATCTGAGGTTGTTTCGATGGTGTAGTCCTCATGACAAACGCAGATGGTTTGGCCAAGCTGTTCGTGTACTCTATGTGTCTCGATGGCCCCATTCGTGAAGACCATTCGAGGCAAGTCCAAGGCGCAATTGATACATCACATTCTATGGGCTTCCTTGCAGGCTCTCGTGCACTCGATTCATTGGATAAATTAATCACTAGCACAGAGTCCTACTTTCATCCTTCAAATTATGGTCATTGGAGTTTAAGCGTGAGTTTGCTGCGAATCCCTTCCCAAATAAAGCTATACTAACCATTACTGAACTCAGCTGACCCTCTTCGTGCACCGTATAACCGCTGAGTTCGCGAAACGTTGGAAAGAGGAACAAGAATCGTCGTGCAGAACGCCAATAGTATGCATGTTATACTTAAAAATGAGTTGTGCTCACTGTATCGTCATCATTGCAGACCCGTCGTTTGACGCCTGACATTCGTCGTGCATTCGTAATGATATTACGCACACCTGCGCTGTTGGCCATGTTCTCTAAGGATCCGTTCTCAATGAGTTATGCGCAGGCCTCTCTACGGTCTATGGCGCTGATTGACCCAAGTCTTGTCATGCCCGATCTGCTTGAGCGCGCCTATAGCGGCCTCGAGATTGTCAACGAGACGCATCGCACGACCGCCGTTATGACCATG